TTTTTTTTTTTTTGATGACTGAGCAATCATTATTTAGCATAACATCAGACAACCGTTGCAACAGCACACTGATCTGCTGATATTGCAGTCATAAATATATCCCATTGGTTCACTGCGAAACACAATCAGTTTCTCCGTATTTTTTGTTCAATTTCGTATTTAGCGCTGTTTTAGTGACAACGACAATAAATATTTTAAATATATATGTTGTGTTCGGCTGGCCTAATGTACTACGATGTATACAGCGTAACTGAGAGGATTAGTGTAGATTTGAATAATAGCTGCAACACCACGAGTAGGGACAACAAAAAACAAGAAAAAGGATAAGAAGATGAGCGTAAATACCGTGAACTAATCCATTTAATTAACATTTAAATAACATAAATACTAAGCATAAAAATTTTAACGACCTTGATTTTGACAATTTTTTCTACATTTTTTTTTTTTTTTGCCTAACCTAAAATACAACTTATCGTCGTTGTAGGTGGTTGGCCATAATCATCTAACAACTGCACAATTATCATCAGATAAAACCACTTCCTCCATAAAAGAAGAAAAAGTTTGGTCGAAGCAAAATCACTATTTTTTTTTGCTTTGTTGACCTAATTTTTTTTTATTTTTGCTATCGACATATTGAAAGTATAAAGGTCTTTCTTTCCTTTTTGCATACGTAAGAATAGAATAAAAAAAAAAAAAAAGAGGAAAAAAAGAAAAGACAAGGAAAAAAAGAGGGAAAAGAAAGAAAAATTATCGGATTAAAAAAAAATTTGTTTCATTACTGTTTCAGAAATATATTTGGTTTCAGGTTTTAGCAGTTATTTTCAGTAGCAAATTGTTCTAAAAAAATTTTTTTTTTCATTCACAGGTATTAGTGTACGAATAGAATTTGTTTTCTAGTGTAGGACTTTTGGTTGAACTTTCAACTTTTGCCCCTTTTCTCCAATTTCCTTCTCTTCTTTCTTACTTAGTTCAGCAGCAAAAAATCCCTAAATAAAAAAAAGAAGGGTAGTTTCTTTGCCATTACGAACTGAGGTAAGCCAAATTTAGTGACTGTTCCCAAGAACTACTGATTTCAAAATTGTGACGAAGCAAAGAAGAACGAAAAAAGAAAAAAGGAGAAGAAAAGTTTTTATTTATTTGGTCATTTACTGAAGTCTTTTTTTTTTGAAAAGCAAATAAAAAATGTTTGTTCCATATTCAGTGCTCAGTGTTAGCAAATCACGACCACATATTTAGTCAATATTCAAAACTAAAAGAGTTTGAATAGAAAAAATCCCAAAGCTTAGCAAAATAAAAAAAACGTAGCAAATTATTATTTTTTTAAAGTATTTGTAGAGATGAAGACAAAAAGACAAGAAATTAAATCTCTAAATTTTGCTTTGCTAATTTTTCTTTCTTTTGTTTTAAGATATAATGCGTTTTTTTTTAATGGTAAATTCTTTTCTTCATCTTTTTTCCCCGCCTTACAACTTACCTGCTTTCCTTCACCGCTGTATTCAATTGTATGGTGGTGAGTAAATCTGAACATATCACATTTCAACAACTGTATTACCGTACATCTCATGACAACTGCTTTAATTTTTTGGATCCTATTCTGATCTTTGAGCAGCAGTAATAGCAGCTGATCCGGCAATCAGTTATATACTTTACGCAGCAGTTTTGAAAAATGACCAGGAAATTGATGGCTCTTTCTGTACCACGGAATCACCTCGATCATCCATCAAATAAAAATTCGTTTTTTTCATGCGGGAGGGGGTGAAGGCTGAGGGAGGAAGGGCTCACAAACACTCCCAACGTTACAGTGCTGTCTTTCTGTATCATCCATTAATGATATTTACAAAAAGTA